GAGTGAGTGTTGTGTGTTTCAGTGAGTTCAAACCTACTCCAAATGGGCGCGCTGCTTGTATTATTTAATAGAAATAAATTGTTACGTCACTGTCATGTGCTCAATCGATTTCATCTTCCTTCTGCAATGAAGTTAAGGTGTTGGAATCAACGTTTATGTGGACAATTCAGGATAAATGAAACGGGTGTTGATCGCCTGTGTGGTCGATAAATCAGGGGGTGTGATGAAACTCGATCAATGATTTTAAAGCCCAAGTGCATGTCAACCGAGTAGTTCGTCTCTACCACTAGAACAACCAGTGAACTTGATAAAACTCAACTTCCACCATGTGTGGGCCCGTTTAGATTTCGGTCTTCGATAGATTGTAAAAACTGCCTTCTAGTTTGACCCAGGTAAGTCACACCACACGTGCACTTGACTTGAATGGCAATCATACATGAGGTCAACGTAGGGAATTTGTCTTTGTTGAAGCATTTGATGTTTGGTGACGTAGAGAACACACATCCTATCTAAGCGATCGTTAAGAAGCGTATAGGCGAAAAGGGGTGTATAAGACTATACTAACTGTGTAAGCTGCAGCGTTGCCTTTGCGTATAAGTTTGAATAAAAATGCCTTATTCTCCGTTTAGAATATTTTTGTTCTCCTATTCTGTTACTATCAATTCACTTTTCAGGATAGTCATCTTCTGATAAGCCTCTGCTCATTAGTTCCAGGTTCTCTTTTGAGGTAATGGTAAATTCTGATTGATTCCTTGTCATGCATCAATGACAAAACAAGAATTTGTTCACAGCTCTGGTTACTAAGATGCATTATGATGTTATGCATTCAACCCTCTATTTTATCAGCACCCGTCAATTCTAACCTCATGATTATGAATAACCGAAAGCATTTTTTTGCCAGGGAATTCTCTAAGCATCGCTTACATTTTACACAAATTCGACTCAATGTTGGAATTATATTTTCGTCTGTGCACTGTAGCCTTTTTTGAAGTTGTAAAAAGCTTCTTCACTTCTTCCTTAAACTAGCCGACGGGTTCGAATTACGTATCTCACAATTATCAAGACCAACTGACAACAGGCTGATCCCAATGGATTCCGACACAGTTCGGAAAACATTTATAACGCTTCCCCGTATATCCGTCAATTGTGAATTTGATGTCAATGGTTGCATTTAAAACGTTTAGTAAAAAGTGACTAATTAGTTTTGGATAAGGAGTGACATTGTTTTACTAAATCAAAGGCAATTTTTTCTTCATGAAAATAATATTTTATCGCTTGCAAGTATCGAACCTGAAAAAATTCGAGCAAACATTTGATTTGGAAAATGCATTATATTACTATTATTACATAGTGTTAATATTGCTCAAGTAAATGTGCCAAATGATGAATAGTAATTTTTTAGAGGTGGTCGGAGAGGTTTCGTCTTTATTCAAGTCCCAGTTACTGTGTCCCAAATTTAGTAGGCAAATGAGCACACAACGGATAGAGTAGTATGTTTATTGTAAACAGCATAACCAGTACACAAACAGGGGAACAAGTAGGAACGATCAGTATGTAGGAAGGCAGGCAGGCAGGCAGAGTCCGGCTCACAAGTCGCACTACATGCGAATGCCGTCAAGCCAGAATTCAAACAGTTAGTCAATCGATCAATCAATTTGACCACAGGCATGAACACAAATGAACACAAATCAGTCAGTTGTAGGCCATAACACCAGTCAATTTACAGTGCTCTTCGATGACTTTGCTAGGGGCATAAAAACAGTGAAGGACACTCTGGCCTTTACCTATCACCCAGTTGTACAACTAAATTTACGATTGTGTAGAGAGACGTTGAATCGCGGTTTATTAATGGATTCGCACTTTTCCCACATAAATATAGCGTCTCACAACCTTACAATGAATCAACACGCTAGATGAATCAAGATAAAATCAAAGAATACTGAAAGGGACCTGCGATCGTGTGAGCAGGAACAATTTTTTACGGAAATACTCGTTCGAAGTGTCAAACCGTGCTTATGGACGATAAAGGGCAACACGCATTACACCATGTCACACCCTCTCTAAGGAACATCTCAAACCAAGGAATGGTATCTGGTATATTTCAACTTGTAAAATAACTTGATAGTTATTCAAACTACTATGGTTCTTCTGGCTGTAGGAATGTGCGAGTACTCTATCAAAGATGAGTATTTTTGTAGAGATGCTGTATTTGGTAACTGAAGAAATCTTTTTCACATAAATACAAGGAAAATTCATCGCGTGGAAGCAAAAGCAAATGTACAATGTTCTCTATTCTACGGATCAGTAAGCTAACAATTAAAAAAAGTGACGTTGACCTGGTAAAAACAACCGAGAACACTGATTAGGTTTGTATTTAACGGACCTGTGTGTCACCGAGATCAGAACATTCACAGAAAACATACGGCGATCAAAGTTTATTGAGTTTATTACAATGCATGTCCTGGTTATTGAAACGTTCCTTAGAAAAAACGTCCGCAACGTTTCATAAGTCAATCATTCTTTGTTGCATGTAACAGTCGAAACAGGATAACCGTTCGACGAGCTGCGCAGTCCATGGAGGAAATCTATTGAAACATTTGGAGGGAATTTCGATAAGGATTTGGACGTGTAAAGTAAACGTTTTACAACCTCATGAGTCGGATGTGAAATGGCAGAAGGAATGTGTGGTTTTCGGGTACACAGAACCGCGGCAGATGGATGAACGAAATCTATGCATTGCATATTGTCCCAACAAAACGGTTATACAGTCGCGAACTCTCTCTGTCTCTCTCAGCTGGTT